TCTCATTTGGTGACCGATCTGACCCAACGGCTTTATTAAGAAGAAGTATTGAGAATGATAAGAACTATGTAGAAATCCGTTCCTGCTACGAGGATGAGCACTTGAACTGGACAATGCTTGAACAAGGTTTTTATGCGTTTTTGCGTATTTGTGTAAGTGCACGTGCGTATACGCTTGTTTATGCGTATGAGTGTGTGTTTAAGTTGGTCTATCCAGATTTATCAACTCGGCAACCAGGCAAACTTTGATATTGAAATTTCAAAATTTTCGTCCCTTCGTACGCAGAGCTCAGACTTGCATGAAGGTTGGTACCGCGGTCCTGGAAGTGGCACTTGGTTGGGGAACTCCCTGGCAAAAAAAATTTTGGCGCCAGAACTTACTTGGGTGTCGAGTTGAAATACACGGACACACACATACATACACACAGACACACACGGGATCGTCACAATGTGCGCTTTTGCATTTGTATGTGGGCAAAAACGTAGAATGAGTTTCTGCCTAGGATGAACCCTGTTTATAGTGTATCAAATTTTCATATTGCGTCACCGCAGTCACTCACTCAGTACACGCAATCTTTCTACAGAATGAAATCATGCAAAAGCGCATGATCACACCGGCAAGCCTGACGCGCGCTGTCTAGGTTTGTTTTTCTGCAACGTTTTTTAATAAGTACCTGTGTAGTGTCTAATATTTCGCTTCGGTTGACGTTTTATTTTTTGTTGATGCAACTTGGTGAATGGTTGCCATCAACGACTAGTACGTGTTTGTCATCATGTCTGAAAAAATATGACTTCGCACAAATTCTGTTTTATTCCTAAGCGAGATCACCGCTATTCCAGGAATGATACTATGTGCACAAAATGTCGGATCTTTGCTTATGGTACTTACCGGTCCTCAGATCGATCGGCTCAATGGCAAATGGACAATGGCTGTAGCGCTAATTATTACCATTATCAGTAATTTAATGCTACCCCTTCTTGCCGCTACGCACCTGGCTTTTGCGTTCAGCGCGCGAATTCTTTGTGGCATTGCTGATGCTTTGCTCACTCCCTCAATCAGTTCAATGATCGCAAGATGGTTTCCTCCTAAAGAACGTCCATTCGCTATCGGCTTTATCACAGGCGGTCGACAAATAGGTTAAGGCTTGAATCTTAAATGCATGTGAATCTTGAATTAGCATTGAGAGGCTTCTTGAGCTCTTTTGCTAGATGTTGTACGAAAATTATGGATATTTCGACAAAACGCTCATAAATGCGTTGTCAAACATACAAATGTCAAATCAGCTGCTTAATCCGCTCCACTGAAGCGATTCCTTGAACTCCCCTTTGAAACTGTGTAGATGAGAAAGGCTCAAGATAGAGAAAGTGTGGAGAGATTACCAGTTGCATCAGTGGTGGGAGATGCAACAGTGAAAAAAATGATGAAAGTATCAAAATAAAATTGTCAGTTAAATAAACTGAAGCAACAGCATTTATGCCACTGTGAGGAATCTGTGAAATGGCAATTAAGCTGCTCTCCTGCTGATGATTAGGGTTTCCATTTCCACATCTGTGCAGTTATCAGTGTCATCTCTCAAAAGAGTGTTTTCCAGGAAGTTTGCTAATTTTGCCGGTAGCCGGCTGGGTATGCTCGAACAAAGAAACTTCTGGCGGCTGGAAGCTAACATTTTATATATCCGCAGCAATAGGAACATTGACGCTGCTTGTTTGGCTTGTCTTATCAGCTGACAAACCAGCCAAGCATTGCTGCGTTAAAAGCGAAGAAGCACTATATATACTGCGCAAAATTAGCGAGGAGTCTTTGGGAAAGGTATGCTCTTTTCCAAATTATCGCATTTGTCTTACAGATGAAACGCAACGTAAGTTGCGACACACAAGTACCGTCATGTGTAGGTCGTTGTTTTCATTTAACTTACACTGTAAATTTTGTTTGAAGGAAAATGAATGATCTCCGGTAGCCGATCACTCACTGAAAATGGCCTAACATTCTGGTTCCCAAATTAGCAATTTCCCTATAAAAAATTCCACGTCTCCGTACGCTGAACTAAATGTGCTTAGGGCAGAATTTGTAAACTTTGAGCTACACGTGAACAAGGAACATCCTCTTAAAAATTCAGCTTTCGAGCTTTTCTGTGGAGTTAGTAATTTCAAAATTTTTGCTTGTTCTGTGCAGAGTTGGCAGTAAGTGAAAGTCAATACCACACTCCTGAGATAGCGCTTGGCCAGGGATTAGCTTTTTGCCCCTTCAGTTTTTGCATTCGCGTTTCTGGATCTGTGCTTGCCTTTAGCAATTTTCGCATCTCTTCGACTGAATTGGCTTCCTTCTCAGTTACTGCACTTTTTCTAGTGACTGGGAAAACTAAATGTCTTTCTTCTCCTCCTTCCTTATCTTAAACATTGGTTAATTGTGTTCT